GTATTATTTATAGTATATATATATATATATATATATATATATATATATATAATTTGTGACAGATGGAATGGAAATGGAAATATTCTTACCAAGGATAAGGAATTGTAAATAATTTTAAGAAATTTTTAATATCTAAAATGTAATTTTATTCGTTTGTTAATTAGTACATTATATTTTTTTAATACAATTTAATTAATAAATTCATTTGTTAAAATAGATTAAATAACCAATTGAATTAAACAGAAGACGAGTAACGTATCGTATTTTTTTATTTATATTTATTTATATATTTTTTTCAACACAATTAATCAATAATAATATACCTATTTTTTTTCAGTATTGTATCAAATTAATTTTTCTATTAAAGTGGTAAAGTGTTTATATCATTTCCTCTTATCATTTCCACATTTTCGAATTCTAACCTCTATTGTAATATATCCTAGAATAAAGTAAAATCATAAAAATTTATAATATAGACATTATCTAATGAAGATTTAAAGGAGATATTTGACACTTTTATTACATACTTTTTTATTGTAAGAACAAATGGACTCTTATGCGGTAGTAAAGTAATTTGTGGAATCTGTAAATATTATATCAATCAAATATATAAATATTATATCAAGATTGACCAGTGTAAAAAGTTTTTGAACACATATGTTGAAATTACAATTTTTCTTTCTCTCTATATTTAATATTTGAATAATATATTGTGAATTGTAATAGTTGATAAGTATTTTTTATAAGAATTTCATGTATCTTATTTTCACTTACTTCCACTCTTTCCGGTGTTCCTAGCACGTAAATTACTGCTTCAGCAATATCTATAGCTTCCAACGAATATGTGCGAATATTTTGCTTCTCTCTTTCTTTGATTACGTCGCTTGTCATATTTGTCATCACGAGTCCTGGGACAATATTCTATAAAGGTAGAATTTAATATTTTTATATTATCAATTGTTCAACGCTGATATAGGGAATCGTATCTATTATAATTAATTTATTTTTCCCATTCATCAGCAAAGAATTATGATTATATTATATATAAATACACAATACCTATTATATCTACATATGTTTTTTAATCAAGATATAAAGAAAATTATAAAGATCAATTAGATAGATATTATTATCACAAATTGTTTGTTACTGAATAAGTAATTAATAATTTATTAATTCGTTGCAATCGAAGGTACGTGAAATTAATTTTAATTTTAATGTAAATAATAAACGATTTAAAGAGAGGGAATGAAAAAAAGATAAAAAAAAAATCTTTGATTCATTTTTGTTTTCCTATTTCGATTTTTCGAATTTTTTCAAATATTTTTTTTTATGAAAGATGTGTTTTTAATTTTGGCGCGAAAGAACGAAAAAAAAAAAAAACGATTAATCGTTCACGTAAAATCATGATTCCTTACCGTGATTTTGATATTCAATTTATTCTGAATGATTTCGTGTCGAAGCTCTGTGCTTAAGCTGTGTATACCGCTTTTACTCGGCCCATACAAACCGAGTGGCATAAATATAGCGTCGAGATGAGATCCGGCAATGCTGCAAATTATATGACAACAACAAAAGATAAATATATGATGTAGCAGAAATGGAAATGGAAAAATCGATATAATTGAAGATCTCTGATGACACTCTGATATTTCAACATTGCAACAGAAAAGTAATAAGAGTAGCGAATTAGAATTTTATACACGAGATCGAATCGAATCGAATTAAAATTGTTTAACATCTAGAAGATCGATTTACCTAGAAATGTTGATTATGTGACTTTGGGTGTTCCGTTTTTTCATAGACAATACAGCTTCTCGTGAGAATATCGCGGGAGCTAATAAATTTGTATCTAATATATTACGATATTCCTCGGTCTTCTGATCTGAAAGACACATTGAAACATTTTATATATTTTCAAAATGTTATACACACATGTTTCTAACGAGTCAGGAACGATTGGACAATTTTTATGTTTCGTTTTGTTTATCTGCATGTATCATAGTTCTTCTTTAAAATAAGAAACGTGTCTCATATCCCTTTCCTTTTTTTTTTTTTACGTGTGTAACAATCCATTATTTCGAAACGATACGTGACTCATTAACATTGAAACCACGCAATAATAGATATCTTCAACTCGTTTTCAAAAATAAATTTTAATTATCGTTGAAATTTTTATAGGATAATAAGCGATAAGTTCGTTTTAACATATTAAAGTATGATTAATTTTTTGTCTATATATTTAATTTATACAATTTAATTAATCAAAACAAGATAGTTCCTTTTTTTTCTCTTTTTAATTTCTCAAGTTTACGATTAAAATCGTTGTTGTTATATGTGATAGTACAATAATTATAGATTATAGATTAAGATAACAAAGAGATAATGCAACATTGAAATGTCCGTAAATTTATCACTTCAAAAAATTGAAGTAAAAAATTATACAAATATTGTGCGAAATTTGTATTGCATTTATTACATTACAGGATGCATTTTATGATTAAAAAATAATCAGATAAAATTCCAATTTCAATGTTGAAAAAATAAATTTTCATTACTTGCGTTCGATTTTCGAAAAAGAATATATTTCTATCCTTTCTATATATAAAGAAACAATCGATGTTCGATAAATAAACACAGATCGACTTATCATTACTTTTCAATCAAGAGTGATTTATTTACTCACAGGCTTAATATCGATAATGATAATCGATCATAGTCGAAAAAACAAATGATAGATCGATATCTATATTTACCAATGAAAAAACCAGTGTGAAAGATAGCAGCGTTGTTCACCAAAATATCGATACCCTTAAATTCTTTTCGACCCACTCGAACACGTTCAAGATATCTTCCTCCTTCGTGATGTCGCATTTAATCGGGAAAAACTTGTCCCTTCCGATCTCCTCGCCAATTTTCTCCAATCTTTCCATATTTCTGGCAACACCGACCACATTAACGCCATTTTTCACCAAAAGCTTGGCTATCTCGGCACCGATACCACTGCTAGCCCCTGTCACGATCGCAATCTTTCCACGCCAACGATTCATCTTCTCTATTACCTATTACACGATAAATTGACTGCGCACGAAATCTTACTCCCTTTTATACGAATACATTGCGCAATATCCTGTCGATAATTCAAGATTACATAAACTAATATATACATGTAGATATACAGATACATATATATACATATATATACATACATATATATATATATATATATTATATAATAACTTTATATTTTGAAAAAAAGGAAAATTATACATCATATATTAGTTATTATTTATTAACTTTAAAATAAAAAATAAAGTTGAACGAAGCGGGATGGAAAGAAGAAGAAACAACGTTCCATTGCGTATTGAAAACATTGTGCACATATGTTTAACATTGAAAAAATGTTAATGAATTTGTTATGCTAATGTTAAAAATTTATGTTATTGTATTATACTAATATTATTGTATTATTGTATTATATTATACTGCATTAATACGTAATGACAATTACTTGTGGCTTGAAAAATTGTTGGGATAATTATATTATTTAATAATTGTTGTAATGTTGTTTAAAACATTTTGAATAGGAGGAATGAACGAATATTCGTAGCTTCTATGATTTTTCTATAACTTTGACCTGTTCATCGGTTAATTGTTCATCCTGCTTGAATAAATTATTTCGAGTAGTTTATTATTTGAGGTTAGAAATTTTATTCCTAATTTCGATCGAAATTAAAATTTCCGTCCATCTTTGATGAGATTCTTTTGCCTGATTCTTATGATTGATTGAAAATTAAGTTTTCTCAAGTTTTATCTCTTAGAAAAATTTTTCGATATGAATATAAATACTCTCGTATCCACAGAGATAGGAAAAATATTGGTAATTTTATTTCTTTATTTATTTATTTTTTGAAGTATTTAAATATAAAATATATTTCAAATCGTAACGAAACAAGATATATTTATGCGTTTTTATCCGTTCTCCTTTTGAAATAAAGTTTTCGGATTTATTTTTCATCGTTGTTCGATTATTCGTTCCTTTTTTTATCAATTATTATGTATTCAATGATAGAATTGTAACCTGTATATAACTATTTATTATTATGATTTATTATTTTCCATCTATCTTTATTCTACTACTAGATATATATGTACATAATATTTTCATTTCAACCTCGAATGTCATTCATATTTCATTATATATCAATGCGATACATATAAATATGATATAATAATAAGTAATAAGTATAATAAAATGTTAAATACTTTACAATTTATTTATGAATTCATTGCGACGATCATGGATATTAACTATAATATATTTAATTGTAAATATATATTGGATCGATTTTTCTTTTAAAAAAAATTTCAATAAATTTTTTATGAATTAACTTTTATGTTTCCACAAGATCAAAAGTTCTAAATTACAAAATTTGAAATCAAAATAATTGAAATATTGAATCAAGAGATAATATTTCAAGATGTTGTTATTAAGTTCTATATATAATTTAACGAGCATATATTTATAAAGTATGACTCAATTTATTACATTGCGGATAAATCGTAATAAATTTTGAATCAAAATTTTATGATAATCTATCTATATATATCTATGATATATATATCTATGGAAGTGACTATCAAAAAATAATCGTGATTATTTCACGTATGATTGACGTGTGATTCGAAGTTTTCAACGAGGAATCGAATTAATTTAAAAAATTTTAAAAATTTTGATAAGCTTAATAAAATATAAAGAAAAGAATCAAGTCAATCGAGGAAAATAACGTATACGCTGATTCTTTTTTTATCCTTCAAGTACACGAATAGTTTATCTCTTACACGTCTAATTAAATTTTAATAGATGAGTCATAAGAAATAGAAGATATTGAAATTCTCGTAAAAGGGAAAAATTTTATCGATTCTTGTACTCATCCGCTTCTATTTCCAACTCTTAATGTTGATTTATAATAGAACTGCCATTACAAGTGTTTACTTATCTCTTACTTTCGAAATTCCAATGAAGAAAAACATGAAACATATTCGCAGCGTAACCGTTGACAAAATTTCTTCTGATGATTCTTCTAACATAAATAAAAGTATATTTTAAATAGAAGGAGCAAGAAAAACTCGGACACAAAGCATTTCGATGTTATATATCTTCAATGATATAGTTTAATCACACACACACACACACACACACACACATACACATTTTATAAAAATATGGGACATCTTTAGAGGGTGAATTCTAAACATCAAAACGATAAAAAAAGTTCATATACACATACGTCGGATAAAGCTTAATTAAGGAGTTATAAGCATTTTAAATTTGTATTAGATAGAGCGAGACGGCGAAAGAGCGAGAACGCGCTCAACTGGATGCGCGGCAGTACCGTATCGCCGTGTAACGGAACCCCACAGTGATGAAAGTAAATAAAAACTGACATTTTTTTATATACAATTGATTATTTCAAATGAATTTCAATATAAGATAATATACAATGTACATAAATATCGTGTAATGTAACCAAACAAATTGAAATCTATGTAATTAGTTATTTAACAGAAACTTAACAGAATCGTTGTATTTCATCCAATCTGCCGTCTTTATCGAAATCCATAGAAGCGAATCGAAACACACTTCTATAAGATTTCGAATTAGAAAGGTTGAATGTGTTTTTATATTCACAATTGCTTTTTTAATTATTTTCACATGTACAAGAAAATTCAAAATAATAATGATACTTCAAATCAATTTGAATTTCAGATTATTAAATTATCCAATAAAATCACTGACAAATATTTATCCTTATTTCATTAAATATTTTTCATTTTTATACAGAGAGGAATAATATCACTTCTTAATAATATGAATCGATATTACACATTAATATCACACAAAAATATCACATATACATATCGCAATTTATGCTTTTTTTTTTATGTATGCCTGAATGAATATTACAAATTCATTAATTTTTTTTTTTACACTTTTATTTCTAACATACGAACGAAACAAGAGTCCAGAACGAAGCAACGCTATCTTAATCAACGGGAAAGATTGTTGATTTGTTTTTGACTAAATTCTCGTATTCTTAAAACTTAAAATACACAAACATAACATTCGATTTCGAATATTACTATCTCATTTTTTTCTATCAAACCTCTTTTTCTTTGAATGAAGAAATTGTTAGCGACGTTATTTCAGTAAAACATTAAGTCGCGAAATTAGTTCAAAATTTGATGAAATAATACATATTTGAATATTTGTTTAAAATAAAGTTTTAATTAAATAATTTTCATATAAAATTAAATTGTACAATAATAAATAATAATCGAAATAATTTTCAAAGAAATTAATGTGAATAGTGAAGAAAAAAAAGTCTAATATGCAATAATGATGTGAAAAAGAAAAATGCAATGTTTATATGATTTTTTTAGTGGATATAAAATAGTGGCATTAGTATTATATTAAAATATAGATTTCAACTTTTCTGTTTAGTAATCTCATATCGAAATAAAAAATATCAAATTTAAGTGAAATAGAGATAAAGGTTTTTCAATTCAAATACTTCAAATATAAATTTGACTATAAATTTCAATTTGATTCGAGTACCATTAGTGACTTTCTTGTACATGTGAGAATAAGCAAATTTATGTATAAAAAAAATACATTCAACCTTTCTAATCTGAAATCTAATGGTATGTTTTGATTTGCCCTTATGGATTTCAGTAAGGCAGATTGTTGTACAACGATTTAAGTAACGATTTAAATTACTATGGATTTAATAACATGTTTGCACCGTAAAGTAATCTATGGATTTATATAAAATGATGTATATGTTAATATTCTGGAATTTCCTAAAACTTGTTCGAGATAAGTTTTTGTTAAATAAGGAATTAAATAATTGTAATACGTACATTATATTACATTACACAGAAATTCACTTAAAATAATCAATTATACATAAAAAAAGTATCAATATATTTACTTTCATCAAGGGGCTCCGCTACACAAGCGATATTGCGATACGGTACTGCCGCGCATCCAGTTGACCGTTCTCTTCATTCTTTCATCGTCTCGCTCTATCTAATATAAACTTAAAATGCTTATAACTCGTTAATTAAGCTTTATCTGATGTATGTGTATATGAACTTTTTTTATCTAGTTGTTATGTCTAGAATTCAAGGAATCCCATATTTTTATAAACATCCTCCATATATATATATATATATATATATATATATATA